ATTGGAGAAGCAGGAAGAGAAAGCAAGTTTTAAACAGGGGTAGCTGATTGGTCTTCATCCACAAGAGCAGAACTAGTAGCGATAGTCACTATACTACTAGTAGTATCAATTAACAGCAAGGTCAAGATCCACACTGATAGTCAAGTCTACATCTTCAAATGGAAAATTATAGAAAAGGAGGATCCCAAAAAACCTACAAAAAATGGCTAAAGAACAAAATTGGTCCTTATGGGCATGAATGTTGAACCTGATAAAGAAAAAAAGAATTGGACTAAATCTTATCAAGATTAAAGTACACTCCAATATTCAATATAATGAAAAAGCAGACATTTTAGCCAAAGAAGTATTAAAGTTCCCAACAATAGAATGGCATGATCTGGACTCACCTAAGATTATTACCAAAATCAAATGGCAAGATATAGTGCTGGATGTTCCAATAAGGCAGTTTGTTAAAAAAACCAATACCAAAATAATGTTGCACCAATGGACAACTCAAAATAGAATAGACAAAAAGTGGGGTCATCAAATCTAAGACTAGTACAGATATACATGGGACATAGTTTGGGAACAAATGAATGATGGGCACATATGGAATATCTCTTTCAAAAGATCACAAAGAAAAAGTTTTTTTGTTAAGATAATTAGTAATGAGCTATCCATATTAATAAAGCTAGTCACAAGAAGACCAGACTTATATAAGCAAGTAAAATGTCTTGCATGTGAACAGTAGGAAGAGACAATAGAACACTTGCTAGAATGTCCAGCATATAAAACTAAGTGACAAAAAACCTGGCAGAAGAGTATGAAAGATATGATACAAAGTTTCAACAAACTTCTGGCAAATAAGAAAAAGAAGTCAGAAGAAAAAGTGATAAATCTGGCAGTTAATAACGGAATAGAAAGAGGAGAAATGGATAAGAAAATAGCTTATCTGATGGAAAGGATCTCAAACACTGGTCGGAATATACTTAGCTTCTGCATGGGACTGATTGAAATGACCTAATGGATAAGATAGCAGACTCAAAGTGCTATGGAAAGAGAATCAGTAAAGAAGCAAAAAAGTGGATAATGAAGATGCAGAAGAAAACATGTAATTACTTTAGAAAGAAAATTTGAAATATTGGATATGAAAAGGTGATAGAGTGGGAATGGATATTTGGAATCAACAGAAGTGACAAGATCAAAAGGCTGATACATCTATAGAGACAAAGAAACAGGGCCAAGGTACCAGAAAATCAGTCATATCAAGTATCATTAAAGGAAGAAAAATTAGAAAATATGATGCTCAAACAGGTCCTGAGAGAAGGGGTAAAGTATGGAATGAAATGGTTGGGTTTTAATCTCTGTCAGAACTCAAAAGAGTGATTTGCAATAGTGATCTGCAGACAATAATATTAGAAGTTGGAAGGGTATTTACAGTACTTAAACTTCTAACGGAGTGATAAATTACTTCTGAAGTTACACTTAGAAAGGTAAAACAATCAAGACGAGTAAGTTAGTTAAAGAATTAGCTTTAGTATCTCATGTTATATGTACAGCTTACAAATGTTTAATAAAATATATGTAACTAGCCTGACAGAGAGCAAAAAAAAAAAAAATAAATAAAAATAAAAATAATTAATATAATTATAGACCTATAGATCTATAGTACAGTGGTAATGCTCCCAGGTCGCAATCACAAGATCCATAGTTCAATACCATATGAGGGCCATGTGAAAGATTTATGAAATAGAAAAACCATCTATGACACAAAACACAACCAGGTCTAAAAAAATATTGATTATCTCTATTCCAATTTCATATAAACAAAGTTTTCATACTTCCAGTTCTAAACAGGTTTTTTCTCCCTATAAAAGATACAATTAACATGACTGAATATAAACAAATCTGAAAAAGGTACAAAACTAGTAACTGCATTAAGTCCATTAAGAACTATCTGAAAGATGCACTTCTTTTTTTACAGAACTAGCAAATCAAGCTTGACAAGTTAGTTGGGAAGAATCTAAAAGGATTGAAAATTCAAAAATAGGGGTATCTAGATTTTCTAGATAGGTAGTAGTAGAAATTTAATTCAACTAAATATTTCTAGGCAACAAGCTATCTGATGAATCTTTTAAAAGCAGGGTTCTAGAAATGTTTATCAATGCAAATGATAGAAAATATGTAATCTTTGCAATTACATTTGTAAATTACCTTATCAATATTAATAAACAAGATTGATTTTTCATTCAATAAAAAAAAACAAAAAAAAAATTTAATATGATTATATAGATATCTATAAATATATATATATATTTATTTATTTTTGATTTTTTGTTTTATATTTATTTAATTACGAATAAATATCAATTTTCTTTTATAGAGATAAGCAAAATTCCTCAGAAAACCATAAAAATAAAAGTTTTTAGAAAGTTAAAACTATTAAAAAAAGAGAAAATAAACTTTTTTATTATAAAAAATCTCTATAAACCTTTAATTTTAAAGGTTAAAAAGACCTTTAGATACTTTATAATCGGTTCTTTTTCCTTTAAAAACTTTTTTGCTATTGATATCAAAGGTATTACTTGACTTTTATTAATTATTTGAAGTCAAATTTTTGAATAAAAGATTTTTAAATAATAGAATAAGGATAGAGATAACTCTTGAAGTTAGACTTTAAGTTATTTTAAGGAAATGTTAAAATTTTATTAGCAAAGAAGTATGAAAACTTCTTACAAACATTTTTTTGTATATGATTAAAGGATTAACAAAAAGAGTTTTTATAAAATAATTTATATATACATATATTTATTTATCTATTTTTATTTTTATAAATAAAATACTTTTTTTTTTTAAACTCGTAATTAGGTCAGTATAGTATATTTATTAATTATAAATAACAAAACTACATGCAATATATTGAACAAATATATCTTGGCTAAACTAAATTTCATGTTGACTCACTCATCATGTGAAATTCTCAAATAAACTTCAAGTCTCTAAGTATAACTTTGAAAATAATATTTCACTCCAGAATAGGTTTTGAATGAAGATTCTCTTAACTTTTCTATCCTTGTTAGCAGGTTGCCACTGTGATTATTCTCCAAGAAACTGATTTTTAGAAACCACAATAAGGGAAAGGAAAAATAAAAAGAAAGAGAGAATCTAAAAATACACAAATATACTATATAAAAAGAAAAATAAAGATACTTCATGTTCTCTAAATGATTTCTGTTAATAAAACCTTCTCACATTAGGAACCAACCCTTCTGGGATATTCTTTTTATTTCTGACTGTCTAAGGAACTTATACATTTGTGATCTTGATTATTTTCTTATGACTATCTGAGGTACTTATTATCTACTCAGATCCAATTTCTTGTTTATCACTTCTTTTTTTTTTATATTAATTTTTTATCCACTTGTACCAAACAATGATTTATAATAAACCCCAGGTTCTTATATAACCTTTTAGTCATATTATGTAACTATTGACATCTTTCAGCAGTTATACCTAGTTAAAGAAATTTTACTGATGTATATCTTCATTGCTTAAAATAATTATTTCCAAAGATCTTTTTGCTTACAATGGTGAGAGGGTATCAGAAAAGCAATAGGAATCCTCATCGATTATAATATCATTACACAATGTTTGGAAAAATATATTTTCAATCCTAGAGAAGGGTGGTGGTTCACAGTCTTCTGCTTTTCAATTTTATTGTTTAACTAGGATAAGGAAATAACCTCTTTTACATACTTAGCCTAACCAGAATAATAAGAAGTTGAAAACCTCAGCTTGAACAAATAATCACCTTTTCATCATCTAAGGAATTTAGTGTTCATCCTAATGGTTTTATAATTTTTTTGCTTCAGTTACACTTAATTTGAAGAAGTGGAGGATTTCATACTGATTGATTCTCTTTTGTTTCATCAATAATGTTATTGAGATATGTGAATATGGCCCAGGAACTTTGTTTACATCTTGCTATTAACATGTTTCATATCAGTCAATTAGAAGCCAGATAATGTTATGCTATCAAAAATTCAAGATCAAGCTGGGGTAATTAAAATTCCTTTAAAAAACTGTGGAAAAACTATAGATATTCTAAGAGGGCAAGAGACAGTATATAAGAAAATAGATAATAAGTCTTTCCCTATTCAGAAAACCTCTATTGCCATGTTACATCCAGTTTTGAAAGGTAACCCTCTACAAATTAATCCTTTTACTTCCTAGAACCTTCTTGCCTTTAGTAAAGGAAGTGTGTATTTAAGTCTATTTAAGTCATCAAAGGCCTAGGTTTTTATTCAAAGGAGTTTATAAACAAGTAGGAGAGGGTAATAATGACTTTTGAAGATAAGTTTCAAGTTGTTTTAAGAAAAATAGAAAAACTTTATTAGTTAAGAAGAATAAAACTTCTTGCAAATATCTTTTTTATATATGGTTAGAGAATTAACTTTTATAAATATAATACTTTGACTTCTAGTATTTTTATAAAATAGAATAATATAATTTAATTTTTATCTTTATAATAAAATCTAAGTTTAACTTATATTATATTATTTTGCAATTTTATATTTCTAAAATAATTTAATAATTTTGTTTTTGATTTTTAAAAAAATTAAGAATAATTAAAATAAATAAAAAATAATTAAAATAAATAAAAAATCTATATTTATAGATTACCAATTTTAATTTTGATTGGTTACTTTTAAATATTAATTGTTATTGATTAATTAGATTTAATATTTAAATTTTTGATAATACAAGATTTTATGTTACTATATATTTTATACATAATAATAATATAAATTAAAGAAAGATATATTGAAAAATTTAATAGATTATTTAAATAACATATCAATGAATTATTCAATTTTTTTATTTATTCTTTTTTTTTTTATTTATAAAAATTATATAATTTGAATCTTTTTGTTTTTTCTATTTTGAAATATTGAATTCAATAATAATTAAAAAAAAGGTTTTTTTTTATTTGAATAGTATTAATGAACATCTTAATAAAAATGCAGTATAATAATTTTATAGGATTAAAATTGTAGCATAATTTAATTAAAAGGTTGAAGAAGTTAATGCAATTCATGTGATTGATTAAAGATATCGATGTTATACACCAATATTTTGAATGTTGTGTCATCTTAGCAGCGCATTTTTCGGATATACAGTATCAATCAGAGTGATCCTTGAAAAATTTTTTCCGTTTTATTTTCTTACTACAGTAATCGTTTGTCACATTGAACCGGGACGTAACCTTTTTTTGGTTTGAATGCATGTACACCGCGTCTGTTAATTTAGCGGTCAAATAAAATCTTCCTTCTAGACGAAGTGATTGCAGCCAAAATTTAATCCCTGCATTCAAACCTTAATCGTTTGCCGTCGTTCCATTTAATCTTTAAATGGATGGATCTGTCGGTTGTGTCAATGTATTCGAAAAGTTTCCCTTTGGGAGGGACAAGAAATTAGTAATGCATGATGAATTCCAGGAAACATTTAAGGGTCTGAATGTAAATATCATGATCTTTCCCTTTGACAATTGGCAGTGTCATGGTCATATATTTAAATTGTTTAGAGAAGGATTTTATTGAATAGAAATAACTTAAAATTCAAAATGGTAGTGACGTCTATTTTAAGTACCCTTACTCTCAGTCAATGCATTACTTATACAGGATTAGGATTCATAACCTATGTTGCCTATTATTACTACTGTTATTACACGAGACCAAATCCACTCCCCGGTCCGATTCCTCTTCCTTTCATAGGAAACTTTCATCAGACCGGAACAAATATGGGAATATTCGGGTCTAAAAGTTTAGAGAAATACGGAGATATCTTTGAAATCTATCTGGCAAATAAACGTCAAATTGTAATAAACCGTCCAGGATTTCTGGATAATCTATATAGTCCTAGCACAAAAGCAAGGTATTTCTCTCGTCCTACCATAAATGGATTAGAAGATTTAGGAGTACGGAAGGGAATCACCTTCAATCAGAATTATGAAGCTTGGCGACGTAATCGAAAAATACTCGCTCATGCCGTATCGGCTCCAAGTTTCCTTAAAAAAGCATTGACCGATTCTCAAGAAATTTTCAAAAGGGCTGAAAGTAAATGGAAAGATGGACAAATTTTAGACCTTGCAGTTTGGGTAAAATGTTTTACCACGGATTTCATAATGCAAACTTCCACAAGTGAAGATTCATATTACCTAGCTTGGTATCAAACGCCGGAAGAAGAACGTGATGAAAACATGAAGTTCTCCCGTAAACTCTATTGTGCTATTGAAACTTGGCTGTCCTCCATCGCCTTCTTCGTGACCGTACCAAAGTTTTTGAGGCACTATGCGCCGGGCGTCAGGAGCCTCCAATTAAAATTTGTCAACAACACCCAATGGATAAGGGATTTTTTCAGGGGTATCATCAAGAAGCGTAGAGAGCTTAGAAAATCATCATCAAACGAGAAAGACGGAGATTTCCTGGATATTATGTTGGCTGCCTATGAATGCACAGATGAAATGGGCGATGAACCGTTAGATGATGATGAGATTTGCGATGCCATAATGGACATCACCATTGGTGGTATCGACACGGTAAATAAAGACTCTGTGCTTAGTATTCACGTGCAAACTCCCATTGTAACACGCCCACTTTCTGTTCTCAGACCAGTGATGGATTTTGTTTCGTGTTATGGTATCTTCATAATTATCCCGATGTCAAACAACGTTTTCTCGACGAAATCAATTCCATCTTGGGTGCTGACACGAATCGGGCAATGACCATAGAGGACATTGATAAGTTCGTATATCTCGATGCGATAATCAAAGAGGTATTCCGTGTGTTCACGTTAGCCCCGCTCACCTTGCGTCGCATTACCACCGAGGATACTTTAGGAGGTTTCAATTGGCCGGCCGGCACCGATTTTTGGATAAACCATCAAGCGGCAAATAATCATCCAGATTATTGGGTTGATCCCAAAGTCTTCAATCCCGACAGATTCCTGAACGGAGAACATTTAAAGGCAAAAAACATGTGGACTACCTTTGGGGGTGGTCTACGTGTCTGCCCAGGTCAAGTGTCGCTTCTCGTTCCCACTTGTTTTAAGATTTTTCAATGTTAACTAAATTCTTTTCCCTTTATTGACAATTTTGCAGGGCGATATTTAGCCACTCTGGAAATCAAAGCATTGTTAATTAACTTTCACCGAAAATACGAAGTCGGATTAGTTGATAAAGACGCGCCAATTAGGTACTGGTACGCCATCACAAACCACTGTTCAAAATTGGAGATCGAGTTGCATCGAAAAAAACCGATATCCAAGGAAGAATAAATATGGATAGAAGGATACCGGTGTTCATACTAGAAGTTAAGTTAAAACTCTCATCCTTTGATAGAAATTATGCTAAATACAGTACAGTATATCGATGAACAGTCAATTGTTCTCTTAATTAAAATAAGTTTACAGTATATTAAACCAATTTTTTTAAATATATACATGCATACTGTATGTACTGTATATACGGTATACAGTATATACTGTATTTTTAAATAACTTTTTCTAATAATAACAATAAAATCGTATTGATTAATAATATTTATTTTTTTTTTTATCACGAATGTTTCAATATCCAAATGCTGAAAGAATCAACAAAAAGTTGTACAGGTCGTGATTTGCATTTTTCATCACATTTTAATAACCATCTTTTAGAACCGTTTGCCGTACTTAATAAAATACGCAATGAATTAATTCACCTTTGTCCTACGCACGTATTTCTGTTTTTAATTTTAAGGTGAAGAGAAATTTATTGGATATAGAAATTAGCAAACAAAGCCACATTATAATGTTAAGTAAAATAGCTAAATATTGCCCGTAGGCATATGATGTCGCGCGGAATCGAAATAAGATTTTATGAAGTTCAATTTCATTCAAATTCTTCGGGATCTTCGCTGACGAAATTTCATTCGGTCATGTCGAAATACAAAATCAACTATTATTAATAACGAGAACAAACTACATAAAAAAATTTCTAAAGCAAAACACTTAAACGTCATTAAAAGAACGTTGTTATCAAACCCCTGTGTGATAGTCGCAATACCTTTTTTATATAGATTTAAAAAGAACTTTTTTATGTTTAGACTAGTCGTGACATTCTATCTTTGGGTGACTCCAAGACAACTTAAAAGCCAGTTTCATATAAAACTTCTTGCACGCAAGCTTCACCTTTTCGTCACTTAAAATTCCAAGGCTCTCTTAATTAGTTTTCCTGCATAATACACGACGTCTTCCTAAAAATCTCTTGAAAAAAATGGCCAATGTGTTCTCTCGTAAAAAGCTGACCACTCTTGATATAATTCTTGACGATGACTTCGATGGCATCATGTATGGTTTACCTGAAGAATCACTTGGATGTAGGCTAAAAGGAAAGGTTGTGTTGAGAAATTCGAAAGCCTTGTCGGTGAGGTATCTGGTTTTCATGTTCCTGGGGAAGATATCAGTGGCCTGCGGTCCAGCGATGTCTGCGTCGCGAGTGGACTGTAAGAATGCATTTCTTTTTTTTAAAAAAAAAAAAAATGATTCCAATTATTGCTAGGAATTTTGTTTTTCTGCCTTCTAACCTTGCCGGCCTTCAAAAATCCTTTTCACACCCACAGATAGCGAGACACAAACAATCTATCGGAAACAATGTGTATTCCACAGTTCCGAAACTTCCGGCAAAAGGATTCCCGCCGGTACACACG